ATCTTCAAGTGGCATGCTATTATCTATTTCTTTTTTTCTCACACTCTATATATAAATATATCTGTCTGTTTATTTTTCTTATCTATCATTATCAAACACCAATAAAATAGGTTTTATTATATTATAATATCAACAGCATAATACAATATAACAACATACTGATGATGAACAAGCATATGTCCGAAAGCTCTATGATAATTCGTATAATTCATAGTTATTACTACTTCTCAATGTAATTATTTTTATTTCTTTTTTAATATTTTATTGTTTATCACCAATTGTTGCATTAGCTAAAGATTTAAAATTAGCTCGATCGTAAGTTTTATGATATTAAATTAAATAAATCTAAATTCTTTGATTATTTATAGTTTAATTTTTGCATCTGGTACACTTGCACTATTATCAACTTATTCTGGTGAATTGAAAATTTCATTTGATATTCAAATAGATAAAATACTATTCGTTCGTTTAAATTATTTAAATAAATTTTGTTTTAGAATGTAATCATGTTATTGATATACAACGTACATTTATAACAGCATTAAGTCATGAATGAAATCCTAACATAAAATTACAAGGAACATATCAAAATATAGTTAAACTTGAATTTTAAGTAGAAATATTTTGTTTTGTTTTGTTTTATTAATAAAAATTGTTTTAAAGGGTGAATGCGGTCTTGCTGTACTTGATGTTTGTCAACGTGTACCTTATGGTGTACTTTACTTATTAGATGTAACTCCAGGGGTCGCAGCGGCATGTGTTCCAAAATCAGGAAAGCAGACAGGAAATTTTTTTTTTAAAATCAGGAATTTTTATAAAAATCAGGAATTATAAAGTTTGTTCTAATATTGCTTCTTTTGAAGTCAACTCTGCGTAAGAGTAGATGCGACAGTCACGGCTAGTTACAATTAAAACGTAGGTTGCTGAAGTAAACACTAAGACTTGTTGAAAACAGAATCAATTGTGCAGGAACTTATTCTTTTATTGAGATATACACACTTTTCATCCTTTATTGTTTACTTTTTGTTCTTTTCCATTGTCATGCTTTTATTCTAATTTGTTATTCTCTCTCTACATATAAAACAATCATGTTATAGCGATTCAGTTTCGAAAAATGTACCCCCTCAATTAGACATTTTCAAATGCCGAAAAATAGTGTTTTGCTCAAAATGGTTGCAAAAACTAGAGAATACCGATAGAGTATGTTCTGTGCAGCTTAAGAAAGGTAAAACTGCCAGTTCGTTTTAATGCATTGTGTGTCGTACAGATGATCTTAACTGTGCTAACGGAGGATGGAATGGTATAAAAAGACATTTTGATCGGCCAAAACATATTTAATGTGTGAAAGATGTGTTTGGTTCTGTTCCACCTATTGCATCAAATGAATAATTACTACCTTTGTCAAACACTAAAAATGCTAATAGTGTATGTTCAGCAATATTATCCACAAATGAAAACACAATAAGAATTCCTTTTGTTACTATTCAGAGGGATAAAAGAGCATTAGTACATGAAGAGAGTAAGTGTTTAGAATTAATATTTACTATTTTTATGGCAAATTCATTTCACCAGCTAGTGTGTAAAAAGATAACAAGATATCAGAGCGTGAGAACAAACCTGGGTGAACAGTTTAGATACTTTAATATCATCATGGAGAAAAGGTAAAAGGGAAAAAGTTGTTAGTGGAATTCCTTGAAGGATTAAAAATGCGAAACAGGATATAACTACAGTTTCCAATTTTCTAAAAACTGTTCTCTTCTATGCATATCGGGGTACATTTCTGCACCATGAATTACTTTACATTATACAGCTGAAACAGGATAACACTCTATATATGTTCTAATCATATGTTAGACATGAATTATCTCGGATAGTTTCTTGAGGTCTTCTATCATAGTCTATGATGATTTCTGCAGTCTATCTATCACAGTCGGTGATAAGTCCAGAGTCCTGTCTGTCACGGTCTGTGATTGATCCAAAGCCCTGTCTATCCCAGTTTGTGATGGGTCAGAGCCCTGTCTATCACGGTCCATGATGGGTCACGTGAGTGTCTGTTACGATCTATGAGGGGGGGGAGGGGATGGATGCAAACTTCTACCCTAAACACTTCAAGTCTTCTTTCAGATTATGTTTCACAAAATACAACGTGTCATGATCAAGTAGATATAGCCCCTATCGGGATAGATCATGAAAAATCAGGAAAAAATCAGGATTTTCGGTCAAAAACAGGAAAAACAGGACATTTTTAAAAAATCAGGAAAAAATCAGGAAAGTAGTACGGCTGCAAGGCCTGTAACTCCAACAATAGTTGAACAATTAATTTATGCACAATTTTATCCAATTCTTGCATTTTAAAGCAACGGATCAACGTCAAAATAAATTCGTCATGAGTATGGAAAACTTTAACACAAATCTTCATGGCGTTTATTTGAATCATATAATCGTTTAGAATTTTTATATGCATATTTAAACAATGACAATTATGAAAAAAAATTATTTTAAATGAAATTCTTTTATTTATTTAATATTAAGAAGAAAAAAATTAATAAGAAAAATTACCAAGAAAAAAAAATAACAAGAGAAAAATTAACAAGAAAAAAAATTAACATGTAGCACGACGAGTTTGAATATTGTTACCATTACTAATACTGCCAACCTCACCAGAACCACCACGAGCACGACCACCAGAACCACGAGCACGACCACGACCAATACGATGAAGACGACCACCAGGACCACGACCAATACGACGAAGACGACCACCAGAACCACGAGCACGATCACCAGAACCACGAGCACGACCACGACCAATACGATGAAGACGACCACCAGGACCACCACGTCGAACACGACGAAGATGACCACCAAAACCACCATGTCGGCCACGACCACGACCACTATTATCTAAAAAGGTAAAAATATATGAGATTAAATCCGATAGTAAAAGAAATAATAGAGCTTACTTTGTTGTTGTAATTGTTGTTCTAACTGTTGTATCTGTCCATCCCGTTGTTGTAGCTGTTGTGCTTGTTGTTGTAGCTGTTGTGTTTGTTGTTGTAGCTGTTGTGTTTGTTGTTGTAGCTGTTGTTGTTGTTGTTGTATCTGTTGTTGTTGTTGTAAATATATAAGAAAACCTTGAAATGGTGGAGCTGGTGGAATATTGTTGTCGGTATTGCTGCTGCTGTTGTTTTGTGCAGCAATATTCTAAACAAAAATAAAAGATAAAGATAAATTTAATAGAGTAGTAAAAAAAAGTATATTAGTATTTTCATGCAGAGAAAACATGCAATATGGAATTGCACCTACTTGGTGACTAGCGAGGTTGATGGATTGAAGTGCAAGACGAGACACATGAAAGGGTTTAATACATGTTAAGGAAAAGAGTGTTACACTCCTAGAAGCTATAATAAGGATAATTTGAAGCGAGAGGACAGATGACTGTAAAGTACGGCTCACATGCTCTTATAATTTGAGCTTTACACAGTCGTCGAAAAGAAAAATAATCGGATAAAAAACGGCCTACTTTCATCATTTTTAAATGGAGCACTTCCTGCTGGTTATGTTTTTTGCACATCGATTCTGATATCGATTTGAGTGTCCCAAATCTTAAAATAATATTGCAAGATATGTGAATCGAAATTTTCATAAAGAAGATGAACAAAGAACAGTTAAAGAACAAAAAAATGATCAATGCACCAACCACCTCATGAGCATTGTTTCTATATCAAACTATATCGCTAGATGACACTATATGTAACAGATAGTTCTATTACATTATCGTTACATTGATATATGTCATTGAAGATGAAATCAATCACATTTCACTCTTCTTCTTCCTGAGTCTAGTCTGTTGTGCAAGGCTACCGCACAGAAAAATATGAAAACCCTTCAGAGATGCATGCAATGCTTTTATTCATCTTGAATCACAAGTGTCAGCGCGATCGATTAGACGGAAAGTAGCTATGTGATTTTGAGTAAATATAAAAAGATTCGTAGTTCATGAAATTAGTAGTATTGACATTTTTACTTGTTTATTTGATTTGATTTAGATGTCAGAATTGGTCAAGACTCAATCGTTACGTCATTATCTCCAGAAACGTTTTTCATTCGGCTTTTTCTCTTCTATATATTTTCTGTCGGTGGTCTTATTGTTAATTTCTTCAATTGATTTTATCATGTATTATATGATCTTTCAATCGAGTTTTATATAGAAAGATTAATTATCATTTAGCAACCATTATATGGGGTTGTAAGTTCTTTATTTTTTTCTCTCATTCATACTCCATCCTAATTTATTTTTAGAAATGACATTTGTTTATCAATGGTAGTAAGTATTTTTTTTTCGTCTACTTAATTTTTCTCTTGATTTACTTAAAATTCAATAAAAATAAAAGTTAGA